GGGAGTGAGCTCTCAGGAGGAGGAGGAGGGAGGAGAGCTTCAGGAGGAGAGGAGGAGGGCGGAGCTCTCAGGAGCAGGAGGAGGGAGGGAGCTCTCAGGAGGAGGAGGAGGAGGGAGCTCTCTGGAGGAGGAGGAGGAGGGAGCTCTCAGAAGGAGGAGGAGGGAGCTCTTAGAGGAGGAGGAGGAGGAGGAGGGCAGCACTCAGGAGGAGAGGAGGAGGGGGAGCTCAGAGGGAGGGAGGAGGAACTCTCAGGAGGAGGAGCAGGAGGGAGCTCTCAGGAGGAGGGAGGGAGCTCTCAGGAGGAGGGGGAGGGAGGGAGTTCTCAGGAGGAGGAGGAGGGAGTGAGCTCTCAGGAGGAGGAGGAGGAGGAAGCTCTCAGGAGGAGGAGGAAGCTCTCTGGAGGTGGAGGAGGAGGGAGCTCTCTGGAGGAGGAGGAGGAGGGAGCTCTCTGGAGGTGGAGGAGGGAGGGAGCTCTCAGGAGGAGGAGGAGGAGGAAGGAAGCTCTCAGGAGGAGGAGGAGGAGGAAGGAAGCTCTCAGGAGGAGGAGGAGGGAGGAAGCTCTCAGGAGGAGGAGGAGGGAGGGAGCTCTCAGGAAGAGGAGGAGGGAGGAAAGCTCTCAGGAGGAGGAGGAGGGAGTTATCAGGAGGAGGAGGATGAGTGAGCTCTCAGGAGGAGGAGGAGGGAGTGAGCTCTCAGGAGGAGGAGGAGGAGGGAGGGAGGTCTCAGGAGGAGGAGGATGAGGGAGGGAGCTCTCTGGAGAAGGAGGAGGGAGAGAGAGCTCTCAGGAGGAGGAGGAGGAGGAGGAGGGAGACTCTCAGGAGGAGGAGGAGGGAGTTTTCTGGAGGAGAGGAGGAGAGCGCTCCAGAGGAGAGGAGGGAGTCTCAGGAGGAGGAGGAGGAAGGAGGGAGCTCTCAGGAGGAGGAGGAGGGAAGGGAGAAGCTCTCAGGAGGAGGGAGGAGGGGTCGCTCTGGAGGAGGAGGAGGGGGGAGCTCTCGAGGAGGAGGAGGAGGAGGGAGCTCTCTGGAGGAGGAGGAGGGAGGGAGCTCTCAGGAAGAGGAGGAGGGAGCTCTCTGGAGGAGGAGGAGGGAGAGAGCTCTCAGGAGGAGGAGGAGGGAGGGAGCTCTCAGGAGGAGGAGGAGGAGGGAGCTCTCTGGAGGAGGAGGAGGAGGAGCTCTTAGGAGGAGGAGGAGGAGGAGGAGCTCTCAGGCGAGGAGGAGGAGGAGGGAGCTCTCAGGAGGAGGAGGAGGGAGCTCTCAGGAGGAGGAGGAGGAGGAGGGAGCTCTCAGGAGGAGGAGGAGGAGGGAGCTCTCTGGAGGTGAGGAGGGAGGGAGCTCTCAGGAGGAGGAGGAGGAGGGAGCTCTCAGGAGGAGGAGGAGGAGGAGGGAGTTCTCAGGAAGAGGAGGAGGAGGAGTGAGCTCTCAGGAGGAGGAGGAGGAGGGAGCTCTCAGGAGGAGGAGGAGGGAGCTCTCAGGAGGAGGAGGAGGAGGGAGCTCTCAGGAGGAGGAGGAGGGAGGGAGCTCTCAGGAGGAGAAGGAGGAGGGAGCTCTCAGGAGGAGGAGGAGGAGGAGCTCTCAGGAGGAGGAGGAGGAGGAGGGAGTTCTCAGGAAGAGGAGGAGGAGGAGTGAGCTCTCAGGAGGAGGAGGAGGAGGGAGCTCTCAGGAGGAGGAGGAGGGAGCTCTCAGGAGGAGAAGGAGGAGGGAGCTCTCAGGAGGAGGAGGAGGAGGGAGCTTTCAGGAGGAGGAGGAGGGAGGGAGCTCTCAGGAGGAGGAGGAGGGAGCTCTCAGGAGGAGGAGGAGGGAGGGAGCTCTCAGGAGGAGAAGGAGGAGGGAGTTCTCAGGAAGAGGAGGAGGAGGAGGGAGCTTTCAGGAGGAGAAGGAGGAGGGAGCTCTCAGGAGGAGGAGGAGGAGGAGGGAGCTCTCAGGAGGAGGAGGAGGGAGGGAGCTCTCAGGAGGAGGAGGAGGAGGGAGCTCTCAGGAGGAGGAGGAGGAGGAGGGAGCTCTCAGGAGGAGAAGGAGGAGGAAGCTCTCAGGAGGAGGAGGAAGCTCTCTGGAGGAGGAGGAGGAGGAAGCTCTCAGGAGGAGGAGGGAGCTCTCTGGAGGTGAGGAGGGGGCTCTCAGGAGGAGAAGGAGGAGGGAGCTCTCAGGAGGAGGAGGAGGAGGGAGCTTTCAGGAGGAGGAGGAGGGAGGGAGCTCTCAGGAGGAGGAGGAGGAGGAAGGAAGCTCTCAGGAGGAGGAGGAGGGAGGAAGCTCTCAGGAAGAGGAGGAGGGAGGAAGCTCTCAGGAGGAGGAGGAGGGAGGAAGCTCTCAGGAGGAGGAGGAGGAGGAGGAGGGAGCTCTCAGGAGGAGGAGGAGGAGGAGGAAGCTCTCAGGAGGAGGAGGAGGGAGGAAGCTCTCAGGAGGAGGAGGAGGAGGAGGAAGCTCTCTGGAGGAGGAGGAGGAGAGGAAGCTCTCAGGAGGAGGAGGAGGAGGAGGGAGTTATCAGGAGGAGGAGGAGGAGGAGGAGGAAGCTCTCAGGAGGAGGAGGGAGCTCTCAGGAGGAGGAGGAGGGAGCTCTCTGGAGGAGGAGGAGGGAGGGAGCTCTCAGGAGGAGGAGGAGGAGGGAGCTCTCAGGAGGAGGAGGAGGAGGGAGTTATCATTAGGAGGAGGAGGAGGAGGAAGTTCTCAGGAGGAGGAGGGAGCTCTCAGGAGGAGGAGGAGGAGGGAGTTCTCAGGAGGAGGAGGAGGAGGAGGAGGAGGAGGAGGAGGGAGCTCTCAGGAGGAGGAGGAGGAGGAGGAGGGAGGGAGGGAGTTATCAGGAGGAGGAGGAGGAGGAAGTTCTCAGGAGGAGGAGGGAGCTCTCAGGAGGAGGAGGAGGAGGAGGAAGCTCTTAGCCTGGCTGGGAGGTGGCAGGGCCAGCAGCTCTGGTTAACCAATGCAGGCGTGGTGGGCTCTGCCTTTCGGGAGAAGGGCTTGCAGGGCTGCTGGGTGTGGGAGCTCATTGTGATTGGGTGGTTCCTCCCCAGGTGACAGGCACAGAGCCAGCTGTGAGCATGTCCAGCACCTGCCTCCTCCAGCTCTCCCAGGCCATTGCTCGGCTCCAGGCTCCTTCTGGGTGGGAGGGGGGCCTGGGCTGTGCTGGCTCCTGAGGGAGCCCTGGGGCAATTCCTGGAGGCCCAGGCCTCTCTGAGGTCAGACAACTGTGTCCCTCCTCTCCTGCCCTGATGGGTAGGCTGGACGGTGAGTGAGTTCTCCAGGTCACTGCTTTTGGGGAAACAGGGGGCTAGTCTCCCCAACTGTCCGCCGTGCAGCTCTCCTTTCGCTGTTTGTCCTTCCCCTCAGCACCCTCTTCGAGGGCCATGGTCGCCAGCGGGGCTGGCGGGAGGACGGCGCAGTGAGGACCTGGTTGGCGCAGGGGGACATAGGTGAGATGTGCTGAAGGGAAACAAAGGAAACGCGATTCCCACGAGATCACATTGTTTGGGGAAATGGAGGCTTCACTTCGAGTTGTGGGGAGACCCGGGGGTCTTCGAGCGGAGCCTTGGGGGAGAAGAGGCGCGTCCAGCCGGAGAAGCGGACGAAGGCGGGGGCCGCAGGCCACACTCTGCCGCTCTGCCCAGGTTCCAGGGTGCTCTGCGTGGGCGCTCTCCGTCCTCCTGGCGGGCGACGGCTCAGGGCCGGGGACGCACGCGGGCCTGGGACGCCAGCGGAGGGTAGCGTGGGCACACACTGAATTAAAAGTGGAGCTGCCTTCTGACCCAGCCACCCACTTCGGGAACTTATCCGAAGAAACCTGAAACGCTAACTTGAAAGAACATATATGCCCCCTATGTCCACACAGCGTTCTTTACAACAGCCGGGGTCCGGGACAGCCACGGCCCATCAGCAGAGGCGTGGATGCGGCTGTGGGACACACACACCATGGAGCACTGCGCAGCAGTGAGGCAGCATGGAGGGGCCTGGACAGCGTCATGCTAAGTGAATGAAGCCAGTCAGAGAAAGACAAGGATCACCTGACCTCACTCACATGTGGAATCTAATGAATAAACTGAACTAATAAGCAAAACAGAGACAGACTCCTGGGTAGAGAGCAGGCGGGCCGCTCTGCTGGGGGCTGCTGGGAGGGTGGAGGGTAGAACAGCAGGGAAGAGAAGAGAAGGAATCGTGGGCCTGTCAGCGGGGGAGGGAAGTGGAGGGCTGGAGGAGAGGCTCTCGGGCCAAGCCCCGGGCTGGCCTTGGCGGCCACAGCCGAGTCCCAGTGCGGCCCCTCACTCCTTCCTAAGCAGCACGTGTGTACACGTCAACCACCTTGCTATAACCAGACAAAAGATGAATGCGCTGTGTGGCTCTGGGTCCGTCTCTCCATCAGGGACAGCTGTCCCACCGGCCCCACCTTCCTCCTTCCATCTCTGTGTCTGGCTCTTTCTTTCACTTTCTCAGCCAGCCGCCTATGTAGGCACGAACGCTCTCTGGCCGCGCCGGAGTGGGAAAGAGAGAAATACCAATACTTAGGGAGGTGGGAGAGGGCGGGGTGAGGGCGACCGGAGAGGACCAGGCGGCAGTCCCCAACCTCTCCGGGCCGCAGGGAGCACCGGTTGGCGACCGCTGGATGGACGTCTGCCTCCTCTGACAGACGGCCCCACACGATGGTCCCCGGCGGGACCTGCACCTGTGGGTCTGGCTGTCTCCCCTCTGCACACGTGTTCCCTCTGCCTCCTCTTTCTGTGCTCGGAACAAGGCAGGCGTGTCTGCATCGGGCGTGCATGCCGTGGGTGGGCACGGAAGGGCCTGTGCCTGACGGTGTCCAACAGGGCCAGTGGGCCTGGCCCGGGCAGCTCCGCAAGGAGGTGTCTGGGGCGGTGGTGCGTCTCAAGCCCAGCTGTCACCGGAAGGTCCCGGGCAGAGGCCGGGCGGGCTGTGCGCGTGGGCCGGGCTGCTCCGGCGTCCGGACGCCCTGCGGTGCAGGGCGCGGAGGCCGCTTGCACAGCTGCCCCAGGCCTGACCGCTGCTTTCTGTCCCTCCAGGGTGCTCGCTGGAAGACGGCCTCTGCAGATGGTGGGAGACCTGTGTCCTCGGTGAGTGGGCGGCGGGGGCGGGGGCGGGCCCTCCCCATCCACAAGCCCAGGCTGCTCCCTGCGGAGAGAGGGTGGGGGCGAGGGGGGGGGGGCGAGAGGGTGGGGTGTTGGGGGGGGCGGTGGAGAGGTTGTGGGGGGAGTGTGGTGGGTGAGAGGGGTGGGGGCGGAGGAGGGGTTGTGGGGTGAGAGGAGTTGGGGGCCGAGAGAGGGAGGAGTCGGGAGGGGTCGGGGGCGAAGGGTGGGGCCAGCAGTGGTTGGGGCGAGAGGGTGGGGGTGAGAGGGTGGGGGCGAGGGTGGAGGGTGGGGGCTTGGAGGGTGTGGGGCGTGAGTGTGTGGGGGCGAGTGAGCAGTGTGGGGGCTTTGAGTGTGGGGGTGTGCGGGTGGGGGGTGTGGGGGGGGGGCGTGAGTGTGGGGGTGAGAGGGTGGGGGGCGTGAGTTGTGGGGGTGAGAGGGGTGGGGGGGTGGGGGGGAGAGGGTGGGGGGCGTGAGTGTTGGGGTGAGAGGGTGTGGGTGGAGGGTCGGGGCGAGATGGTGTGGGGTGGTAGAGGGTGGGGGTGAGAGGGTCGGGCACAGAGCTGGTTGGGGGGTGAGCGGTGTGGTGGTGGTGAGAGTGTCGGGGCCAGGATGGTGTGGGGTGAGAGGGGTGGGGGTGAAGAGGGTGGTCGGGCCAGATGGTTGGTGGTGGTGGGGCTGGGGGTGATGGGGGGAGAGGGTCGGGGCCAGATTTGTGGTGTGGATGACGAGGTGGGGGGGTGAGAGGGTCGGGGCCAGATGGTTGGGGCGAGAGGGTGGGGGTGAGAGGGTCGGGGCCAGATGGTTGGGGCGAGAGGGTGGGGGCGAGAGGGTCGGGGCGAGAGGGTGGGGGTGAGAGGGTGGGGGTGAGAGGGTGGGGGCGAGAGGGTGGGGGTGAGAGGGTCGGGGTGAGAGGGTGGGGGTGAGAGGGTCGGGGTGAGAGGGTGGGGGTGAGAGGGTCGGGGCCAGATGGTTGGGGTGAGGTGTTGGGGTGATTGAGAGGGTCGGGGCGTGATGGTTGGGGTGAGGAGGGTGGGGTGAGAGTGGTGGGGGTGAGAGGTGTGGGGGTGAGAGGGTGGGGGGGGAGAGGGTGGGGGTGAGACGGTGTGGGGTTGAGAGGGTGGGGGTGAGAGGGGGGGGGGTGTGAGAGGGTGGGGGGGTGAGGGTGGGGGTGAGAGGGGGGTGGGGGTGTGAGGTGGGGTGCGAGGGTGGAGGTGAGGAGGGTGGGGTGAGAGGGTGGGGTGTGCGAGGTGTGGGGGCGAGAGGGTTGGGGTGACGATGGGGTGGGTGGTGTGAGAGGGTGGGGTTGCGCGAGGGTCGGGGCTGACGATGGGTTGGGTGGTTGAGAGGGTGGGGGCGAGAGGGTGGGGGGGAGAGGGTCGGGGCGGGAGGGTTGCGGTGAGAGGGTGGGGGCGAGAGGTTGGGGGCGAGAGGGTGGGGGCGAGAGGGTGGGGGGGAGAGGGTTGGGCAGGTTCATTTCGCTTGATGCCCAAAGAGCCGTGGAGCCTCCTCTGCGGACGGGGCTGAGGGAGGCGGAGGGTGCTCCTCATGTGCTTGTGTGTGCCTGTGTCCGAGTGTGTAAGGCGATTCTCCACGATAGGTGGTGCCGGAGCCTGACAGTGACCGGGCGGGAACTGCCCGCCGCCCGCCCTGGCCCGCCGGGCCCCTGACCCGCCCGCCACGCGCTCGCTCGGCCAGTGGGAGGCCCTACCTCCTCTGGTGGGGGGAGGAGAGAAGGTGGGCGCTCGGTGCTGGCAGGGACGGCGCACAGGAGGGGCTGAAATGCCGCAGGAGTCCCGCAGCGGGCTCTCCTGGGAGTCCGGGAGGGGTGCTCAGGACTCGCCTCTCAGAGGAGGAACGCCGCCCTGGGCCGCGGAGCCATGGGAACTTGATGGCTGCCCTTCAACTGCTAAGGGTGGGCCTGGACCCCAGGCTAGGCCGCTTTCCCTAAAGTCACACCGGTTTGTCCCTGGGACCCGGCCCTGGGAGGCCCCCAGGCTTGGATTCTCTTCCTGCTGCCTCCCGCCCACTCTGCACCTAGTTTATGGTGCGTGTCTTGGGGATGGTGGTCGTTGTCACTGCCGGGATCTTGCTCATATGCCCCTGGGTCCCATCCTGGTTCTTGGGGAAAACGTGGGGCCGTGGGGACAGCCGGTTCTCAGAGGCCCCTGATACCGCCACCTTCGAGGTGGGGTTCAGGATCTGAAGGAGGGGCTGACACAAAAATGAAAATGCTGGTCAAGAAATATGAATTTAGAAGGCATGTGGGCAAGGTGGAGCCTCTTTTTTGAGGAGACTCCCCGACTTCTGGCCTGGTCCACCTTTTATTCACTTGAATACACATTTTCCCTTTAGCAAGGCATACAGGCAGATCAAAGATAAAGTCTGGTAAACAATGTAAAGATGATCAGGTCTGGAAATCACCTCAAGCCTTGCAGTCACAGCAGATTGGCTTCCACTGCTCCTTAGCCGCTGTTCGCAGTTCGTTTCTCAGCCCGCGCAGAGCCGGTGCCGGCTGTGCGGCTGATGGGAGGGCGGCAGTGCTGCCTGTCCGCGTTGCCACTGTGAAGCGTGCAGCCTGCCAGCGGACGGGCAGAGCGGGGTGGTGGCCACAGCATGGAATCCAGAATGTTCTGTGATCAAACACTGGGTTCCTTTCTCTCTGTGCTCTGTTCTTTTATTGGGATGTAGGAAGAAATATATGATTTTATTAACCTCATATGTGCTTTTAAAAGTTAGTGACCGCTGGACTAGAGCCCAGGATGGGTGTCTGCCTCCTCTGATGGACAATGGTTCCCAGTGTCTGTGGAACCCAAATCCCAGGAGGCTCAAGGCCCTAATATAAAATGGGGGCAACATACAGCCGACTCTGCACCCATGACTCAGCATTCCCACCTGCAGGTGGAAAATACTGTTTCCCACACTGACAGGTGGGCTCAGTGGTTTGAGCACCAACCCTTGCACTGAAGTGTTTCAGGTTCAATTTCTAGTCAAAGGCATGCTTCTATAGGTTTGATCTCCGGCCCCAATCAACATGTCTCTCGCATCAATGTTTCTTCCTCTCTCTTATCCCCTCCCCTACATTCTCTCTAAAAATCAATGGAAAAAATACCCTGGGGTGAGGATTTAAAAAAAAAGAAAATACTATTTCCCATCAGCTGGGAAGCCAGGGATACAGAGGGGCGACTTTGTACCGAGAAAGAAAATCTGAGACTGTGCGGGCTGCAGTGGGCCTCACTGTGGGGGCACAGGCCTGGCATGTCCTTGGCTCCTGTTACTCATCTTGGGCTCTGTGGCCGGATCACGTGTCGCACTTCCCAGCCCGCTGTGGTCTGCGTCACGGCACACAAGGCAGTGGCCCTGAGCCAGGAGCAATGCGCCCGACTCGGCCATTCGCGGGGTGTCCGCGGAGACACAGGCTGGTCCTGCCTGCCTCTGGGCCGGCACTGCCGACGCGTGCAGAGGCTGAGCCTACTGGGGCCTGGGACCCGAGCCCTGCGCCTCTGGGCGCCGTGCATTTGCCCTGGGTGTGGCCCTGGCTTTGTAACTGGTGGTGCTGGAGGGACTGAGTGCCACTGTGAATAGACGGCGAGAGGCGCGCAGCCCGTGCGCACTTAGCAGCCAGGGCCGGTGGTCGGTGGGCAGGTGCACACTGCTGCTCGGTGGCTCCCGGTCCAGCTTCCTCCCCGTCGCAGTGCACGGGCCTCAGGACAGGAGGCGGCAGCTCTGTACGGGCAGCACCAGCCGCCGAGGCGGCCGGGACAGACCTCCCTCAGGCCCCCTCGCTGGCGCTGGCGGTGCTCCTGCAGCGCCGAGACGGGCGGCTCTGCCTGTCCTGCTCCATGGCCAGTAGTGCCCTCTGGCAGGGGCGGGCCTGCGGGCCAGGGGTCCGTCTCCTGTGACTGGTGTCCACCACTGGCTCCACCTGGGCACCTGACTGGCCCAGGCTGGGCTTGGACTAACCCCTGAGTATCGACACTGGGTTTGGGTTCTTCGCTCTAAAAGGATCACACACAGAACACTAGACACAAACTTCAGCAACTTCTGGTCTCCTCATTGTGGATTGTTTTCATTTTCTTAATTTGAAAGCTTGATGTCATTGATGTCATTGATTGATCTGGTGTGTGTGTGTGTGTGTGTGTGCGCGCGCACGCATGTGGCGATGAACACTGTGGTAGACAAATCCTGGTGTTGGGGTATTAGGGAATGTGGGGGCTGGTCTGGGGCTATGCAAGGATGTTTTCCTGAATTCTGATATAGTAAATATTATACAAGGAAGGTGCCAGATTCTCGCAGTTGTAGTGAGGGGTGAGTGTGGAAACATGAGTGGCTGGCGGAACACGGCTGACCATTGAAAGAACAGTATCTTGTGGGAGGGGTTGATGGACTGACCGGTCGAATGGTGAGAAGCGAAGGTGCAGGGGGGTGGGTAGCAAAGGATACTGGCTGAAGGACCCTAACACGAATGCAACAGAATGGAAATCATATCCCTAAATACATCAATCACCCTCCTTAACTCACTCCCATTCCTCCCTCCCTCCCTTCCCTTTCTTCTTCCCTCATTCCTTCCTTCCTTCCTTCCTTCCTTCCTTCCTCCTTCCTTCCTTCCTTCGCTTTCAAAGCCCCTCCAAGTGGCTCGGCTGTGTGCTCCCGGCTGGGGTGGCGGGCTACTGACCGCTCACAGCTTCCCACCCAGACATGCCCAGGCATCTGCACCCAACGCCAGCTGTGCATGTGCAGCAGACAACGGTGTGTGTGGGGATTCGGCCTCATTGTTTCCATGGTTTGTTAGTAAGAGCATCATTAGCATAAATGATATTTCTCTGTGGAGATGCAAATGATAATTTGCCATTTGAGAAATTGCAGATTGCCATGCAAAACGGTCTCTGGGAAACAGCTACATCCTAACTGAGTGACAGCATTCTGTGCTTTGTTATTAAAGATATTAGTCCAAGACACAGGAAGACTGTAAAAATGCTACCAATTAT